CCTAATGACAGTCGTCTTTGTTTAACACAGGTCCACGCCCTCTCCATCTTATGGATAGAGGCTGTATGACCGCATCCTAAGTAATTAGGCTTTCATAATAAGCCAGCAGCGATATGTGCAAATGAGTTCAACTTACTGTGCTTTAGGAGTCGTTGGGTTGTCACGATACATGGAACAACAAGATGCGACCATGACATGGAAAGAAGCCAAAGAGGACACGAAAAAGAAAAAGAAGATGAACAAGAAGGGCAAGAAGAAGAAGCGTGTCAGCAGTTCCAGTGAAGAAGAAGTGAATGTAGTGCATAGGGTATAGAGTAGTTCTTAGTCACCATTACAGTAGGGATTTTGTACGGCCTACCGTTGTTGCTAAACTTTGTGAGTTGAAGGTCAACCGAGCAGATGGTGAGATGCCGGAAGGAGCAAAGACGACAGACGAAGAGGACGCTCATGCGGTAATATTTCTAAATATTGTTTTTGATTATGGCAAAAGGCGCCATTGTACTTTAGTGAGGTAGAGGGGAGGGGGGACGCCGGGGCGCGACTGAGCCGGCTCCTCTGCTCCCTGAAGCCGACGCTGGTCGTCTGCGCTCTGCCAAGGCTTAGCCAAATGGAGAAGAGGCTGCTCAGTCATGGGAGGGTGACACGCGCGTGTGCGCATGTCCCCCCTCCATGACACCACCCCTTGCAGAAAAATTTTATTCACTTGTTTTTTCGAGCGTCCTGTTCAGTAGTGAGCAACTGCATCACGTCTGAGGAATATAGTGAGAATAGAATGACTCTGGAACAGTCTGAATATATCCACTCTTTAGCAGGGCCTTTCGGACGAGTTCCGAGCGCTGGATATCAACCTGGACGAGCCGCTACGACCAGATGAAGTGGTACGAGGGCCACAGGCGTACAATCGTCAGAGTGCTGCCCCGCGGCCTGCTCTTGTACCCCGTTCGCCGACGACGACATCTTATCAAAACCGTACCCCGCTGGAGTTGGGTGATTCGATAAAGAAGAAGAAAAGGGAGAAGAAAAGCGGTGAAGATGGGTAAGCTATCCATTTCCTCTAGTTTGGTTTCTAGTTTATGAAGCGAAACCGTCCTTTTTGAAGAGTTCACAAAAGGAAGAAGAAGAGGGCCCCGGCTGCTGCCGCGTCAGCAAAGAACAACGAGATCGACATGGATGCGTGGTTGCAAGATGAGGCACCTCCTGTTGTAGAGGCAAATAGCTTTGGTGATTCTTTAAAGGTGAGCATTTTTTTAAAAATATTCTTCTTGAGCTGTGATATTCATTTCTGAAAGGTCAATGATGCTTCAGGTCGAGAAGAAGGGGAAAAAGAAGAAGAAAGTCGCAGCGGCGAGGGAGGCATATGAGGTCGGTCTCCTTCTTGAAAAGTTTGGGGCAGGGAATTTGTGATTTTCGCTGTTTTGTTTTTGTCCATTTCGCCCTGCTGTGCAAATTTGAGGTCCTAGGTATGAGTTCAATAGCTGGTGAACGCGGAAGCAGTGTAAAAAGATTGTAAATCTTGGACGCTGTTTGGCTTGATGGGGCATCCTCATCTTCTTTCCCTATCGATCACTGCCGGTGCCTTCAGTAAAGACCAGTAAACTCCTGTAGATCTAGAATAGCAAGACCCTTGTGCACAGTTGGCAAGAGTCTGTAGTCCTCACAAAGGCAAAATGTATAACTTAACAGGGAGTAAATATGGAAACTAGCGGAAATGCAAAATGCCCCTCTCAAACCGAACAACGCTGTCCCTGTAGCAATTTTGAATATGGCCTCTCTCTTGAAGTTACAGTGATCACCATGGCAGAAGCTGTAGACTGGTGCACAGCTAGGGCGGTCTTTTCCATCCAGTTGCTCCGGGCTCAGGATGGCATCATTGATGGAAAGGAACAGCATGCCCGCTCCTCCTCCCACTCTCTCATTTGCACGATAGTGGCTGTACCCATTGTGCAGTTAGCGCAGAGGATTTCAAAAGCTCATGAGAAGCAGCTTACTCAGTAGTAGAGGGGGGCGCGCTTTGCGGCGGTCGTAAGGCGGCGTACAGATTCGCGGGTAGGGCTTCGGTCGCGTGCTTGACGAGATCGATCGCGCATGCTTCCGACTGCGTCGATCGACGAAAGCATGCGCAACTGACGCTGTCGCGAAGTCTGAACGCTGCATAAGGTATTATCACACTGCTAGACGGTGTTCTGGATTAGTTGTTAACGACCGAATTTCAGGAAGCGTCTGGTGTCTGCACTCCATCAAATCCGAATCTGGACAGAGGAATATCGCCGAGAATGGGTAATAGCACCCAAGCGTTCAGCTCTAGGCTCTGTTCAAACTCGGATCTCAGTGTGGTGAGCAGATTAATTATGTTCATCTTAATGTTAGTATCTCTCTTCTTTCTCTGGAATTTAGAGCTTTGAATGACAAAAAGGTGCTACCATAGTTTGTGAGATGCTTGTGCGTTAGAACATAAGATTATTCCCAGGCATCCTCACCTTTTCTGGAAGAAAAACCATTGGGTCACTTCGAAACTCACTTGTCGTCAAAATTTAGTTGTATGTCTTAAGGACTATTCTTCATCAGCAAGTCTTGGCGTAGATGGAGAAATCGTCGCAAGATTGGAGTTGACCGTTGTTGGTGGTCGACAACTGAAGAACATTGAGGCGAATATTGTGGATACACTGAATGCTCGTATGGTCAGAAGTGAGGTGGGTGTAGCGTGGTTTTCCTACTTCTTTTTAGGAGTTGATACAACTAGTCCTCGTTTTAGCCCGGATTTTTACTGCCGACTCGTTTATCACCTGGAGAAACCACCGAGCTGCGATTACATTTGGCCGTTGTGTCAAAAACCATTTCGCAGACTCTTCGGGGTACCATTTCGTATGTTGCTGAGGTGAGGAATCGTGAATTAGCTCTAATCAGTAAAAATTTTATGGCGGGCTTTCGTAGGAGTAGCATCCTAAGCTCACCAGCGGAGGCAGGGTTCAGATCCTTGAGAAAGGTGCTATGCATCAGAACAATCGTAGAAAGAAATAATTCACAAGAACTTTTGCATTCTCTTTCGGATCTTTAGAGTCTTTTGCAATGAAGCAGTTTGGCTTTAATGACTCTGCTGCTGAGATAGCCCTACAATCTCTCCCTATTCCAGGAAAATGATGGCTCTGTGTCAGGAAAACTTGATTTCAAGTTGCCTCTGAGAAGTACCGATTCGCTAGTGGCGTCAGCAATCACCAAGTAAATCATTCTATATTTGACGAAAATTCATGAAATGGGTCAAGCTTAAAAGAACGTTCTATAGGAATGAGTTCTCTCAACTGCTCGCTGGAGGGAATGTCGACTATTCGGCTTCAGTCCAGTTTGTCTCTGAATGTAGCTTCCGTGACCTTCTCACAAAAATAACTTCTGTTGGCCATTTGTTAGGTGAGTCATTTGTAGTTTGTTGTTCATCTTCAGCTTGTACTTTCTTACAACCTCACTACTGGCTTGGGGGGGGATGTGTGGGGGAGGTTGTGCTAGTTTCGTGCTTTACTTTCCACCTGCTCCGAAATTTTCTTCATGGTTTCCTACTGTTGTTTGACATGATTATAAGTCCAGGAAAACAGGCTGTGTACTGTACCCGAAATTTAGGCGTGAAATTTAATTTGTCATCTCCGTTAATGTACACATACTGGTTTGTCATCCACTTTACCACATTCTTTGGATTTCTGTATAAGTTTCTATTCTTCGGCGATTCCAACTGAGCAGTGCATGAGAGGACGAGGACCTATGAAAATGACGATGAGTCGAGCGCTAGGCTATTTCAGTAAATGTTCCACCTATAAGTCTAGTAAGGCCCTACCCTCAGAGACTTGCAACCAGTAAGTGTAAATCGTTGGAACTCTTCCTTCATTTTCTCAAAAAAGAAGAGTGGAAAATGTCCTGTTCCGCTCCACCAGCATCGCTGTTGTTTACAACGCCGACAACCGTTTTTTGAAGGTGGGTGACGTGAGATGCAAAAGTGTTTAGGAGTGAGAAAATGGGACAGCTTCCGGTTTCCCTGTGACGTTAGAAATGATTAGAATTCTATTGTTATAGTTGAGTCTGCTTTTTCGCGCAGTATTCAGGGATTGGTGTGAGGATATGAATGTAAATTGGTCGAAGGGGTATTGATTGCACCAGGTGGAGGGAGGGGGAGATTCTACACTTTCTTTCGAGTGACTAACAGACGATAACAAAATGACACATTCAAGTTGATATTGCAAGTAAAGGGATGAGCGCTGTATAATTCCACCGCAAATTGGAAATCACTTGAACAGTCGCTCCGACGGTGCGGGTCAAGTTTGAGGTAAGTGGCCTCAAGCCAGACCCTTGTAATGAGCGGAAGGTGCACTGAACTGAATAGTGCCGGAGACGAAATTTCTTGAAATGATTGGGACCGCGGATCAAGTCAGGAAGGCCGCTTTCGGTGAGCGGGGTGCTCACCAAATGGGCGAGGTTTGCTATGAAAGTCATAACTCGCTTCAGAGACAGCGGCAGCGGATTCGTGGAAAGGGATATCTAAGATGAACTGGGCTTGTCTGCGAGAGTATTGCCTCCCACCAATCTCTCATAGAATGACGCTAGTCGTGCGATACGATTGATTCTTTCAGCGGAGATTGGATTCATAGAATGGGATTCTATTTCATTTTAGTGGTCGAGGAAGTCGGCTCAGCAGCCTCACTTTACGCAACAACTCTAACTGGTGATCCTGTCTGTGTGCTTCTGAAGAAAGCGGTATGTTTGCTCTCTCTGGTATCTACATCCTTGTTTCTTCAATATACGCTCAAATGTAATCTTGTTTGGCGTAGATGGGTTGAGGAGCCTTTCAAAGGGCTTCTACAAAATTGAGACTGCCGCATAATGAACTTGGTTCTGCCGCACAGAATGTGTTTATACTTCAGCGTCAGCGTTTTGAGCGTACGCCTGCATTTTGAGCGACTAGGATGGCATGAGTATCGATCCAGCCTTCTCAACCTACGCTGGCAAACGCCCAAAACACTGACACGAAGTATGAACGCACTCTTATAGCTCCTACTTTTCTTAGCTAATGCGAAAATCCTTGGCTCCATTATCCCAGTTCTGCACAAGAAGTCCTTCGAATGCTCCTGGCTCGCCCGTTTTCTATTGCTCTTTCTTTTTATGACAAGTAACGTACTGTTCAAAGATAACTGTTCAGTGTTTCAGGACGAAAATGTGAACATTGGCTGCAAAGCTGGAGACCAAAAGCTGGTAGATGTGGCTTTAGAAGATTTGAAAGAAATTTGTACAAGGCAATAATACAGTCTTTATTTTGCCTTTTCATTTTTTTTATTTATTCTATTTTTATCATTTGTTCTTCCTCCCTTCCTACTCTCATCTTGCTTATCTTTTCAATGGCGATATCAAATTTAATTATGTTTTTATTTATTTATTTATTAGAGCATTTGTAATAATTGCACTAGCATTCCCAAGTGATGTTTATGCCCACCCCCTCCCCTTCCTCTTTTATTAGCGCCCCGTAATTCGGTGATGGTTGAGAATAGTCATACTGTAGCTGTATAGGTATCTGTGCATTGATTACAATTAGCTTAAAAAACAATGAATTCTGAGGAAAAGCTGGCTGAAGTGTCCCAGTTGAGATATTCCTTGTATCTGACCGTATCTTTCGAACAGATGTCCATTTTTTCACTTTGCGTAGTGCTTCTGTAATTTGCAACATATTGATAGTCCCCAAATTACACAGTTTAAATCCTGTCAAGATGCAGATTTTCGCCAGAAATGGCATTTGTTGTTGATTTGCAATGAAGTGTGAAATTTTGCTGTAGTGTCGGATTCTGGCATGACTGTTTGTTTCCGTGTTTGGCTATGAGAAGCAAGGGACCTCGCACGTTGAAAAGTCCCAGTAGGGTCGTATATGGTCAAAGGGGGAGGGGCGGGCGTCCGGTTTGAGGATTTTTTTGATAATTTTTTTGCTGTCTGACGTGAGCTATCTACATTGTTAGGACTACCACCGGGGCAGGAAGATGGGGGGTGGGGGTCGCACCAGGCCTTGTTGTGCTTTTTTTCACTACACGTGTGATATCTTTAGCCCGCCCCCTCCCCAAGTCCTAAAGCGCCCGCTCGATGGGGAAGTTTTGGAAAGAATGGTTGGAAGCTAAGAAAAGTCAGTAAGCTGGCAGGAAGGGTGGGATCGTACCTTAGTAGGAAATTGGGGTGAGGGGATAGTATTTTGCAAACAGTTTCCCAATGACAAGACATGCCGTGATTGAGGGCTGGGTAGCATTCAGTCGCCCTGAATACCCTCTAACGGGAGGGCGGCTATAGAGAGCAGCGCACATCGTTGTTGGGGAATCCCCAATAGGGGGGGGGGTCGTATTTGGCCGCCAGGAGAGGGGGTCGTATTTGGGCTGGGAAAAATTTATTTTGATAGTTGATTTTTCTCGCTTCACGTTGTAAAGGGGGGGGGTCGCATTCGGTCATTGTTGGGGG